CTTTTTCTGTTTCAATGGGTTGACTAAACACAAAACACATTCGTCTCCCGCCCTTGTTGCACCAAACTGCTACACACATCATCTGACCAATCAATATCTCACGCCCCTCGACGGCTGCAGCGCTGCCAACGATCCTCCTGAATATAAATCTCAATTTATCTGTATTTTTATCATCACAGACTCACATCTCTAGAACAGGATCAATACATGATTTATAATGCGATTTTTAAATTGACCGTTACGCGAGAGCAGCTGTTTTTCTAACAACCAGGGCTACCAACTTACACGTACAGTGTTCCCAGAAGTGGCGAACACGGGGATAAGAGAATCTGCGGTTTGCTTATCAAGATTTATGAGTTGGTGCGTGTTGGAGCATTTATTTCGGGCTGACTGGCTGGCTACGTGATTCGGCGGAGCGTGTTAAAAACATCGACCCTCCATCCATTCACAATTACCAGACAGACGCTGACAGTTCCACACTTTAACCAACATTTCCCGCTTTCAGACTGCGCTCATGCTCCATAATAGTTTGTTTAAGCCTCTCTATTCTTAATCACTGCTGCATTAAGCAGGCTTTCGTATCGCAAAATCCAGCCGTGGAACTTTAAAAGAGCACTCTGTAATGCAAACACAATCCTGCAAGCTGTGTTAACACCTTCATAATTACGTGGGGCATCATCCATCCATATCAGGCGCCTAGGATTCGTACATATCCCTCCGCACTGTAGAACTAATTACTGGTCACTGAAGTGCGGAATTTACAAACTCAGTTCCACTACAGTTCACAATTTCGTGGTCAGCATTGCAATTGTGTTTCATTCGGTTTAACCCTTCGCAACCGACGCTCGACTAAATTGTATATAAAGATTCAGTCCGTACCGCAAAGAAAACAGCTCTTCACCATTAAAAACATCGATTGGTTAACGGTGTTTAAGGAAATAATCCCCAGTTATAGTGAGAATAAAATATAAAGCTGCTGGTACATATAGTTACCGCTAGGCTACAAACGGTTTAGTACGCATAGCATTAGGTGGCAAGATAATATTAAAAATAACTTTAAGAAATGGGGGTGCGAGAGCTCTTGTAAAAATTCTTCAGGAAAGACGTGAAATTTCTTTACTAGACGATCGTCTGTCTTTCCGAAGATGGCGTCTGCTCCATGGAATCAGTTAAATAGCCGTAAATACAGCTCGAAAATAAAAATTGACTGACAAAATATTGTTTATATCAGACTGGCAAATGGACGACCAAAATATTAAGTCCTTGGCGTACCTCACTCGCCACCCTGACGACGGAGGCATTAAGGACATCTGTAACGTCCGTAAAGTTCTACCAGACTACAGAAGACAGCCATCTTCAAATATGAAGTTTCTTTTTAAAAGAGACTATCACACATGATGTTGCCGTTAATTTGTAAACACCCTGCAGACTCAGTCAGTCAGTCCCTGACATCCACACACGCCACGTCCAACTGCGCGAAACACAAAATCGATACAAAAGAGATTCCGTTAATGAGACGGCCCTGTTTTCCGATAAGCCGATCGTGGCGCGCTCTGCGTTATGGTTCTTACTACTTAAGTTCTGCTTGAGCTGCTAGCAGCTCGCTCAGCTCGTCAACAAAGTCCTCGCGCGCCTCCCAGGAACACGACATGACAGGGAAAATTGCCTGTCGCCCACAATGAACAGCTGATATACGGTCCATCAACTTCAAAGTGGACTGGAAAAAAAAATAATTGAAGGCCGCGAGCCGACAACAGCTTACTGAAAAGCCCTGCCGCCTTGATACACGGACCCACTACAATTACCAGGCTTCATGATACAACAAAGTCCCTCTACATAAGCTGATAGTCGCTGAGATGTTCCAACTTCAAGCAACTACAAGATCCAGATCAGTTCCCGAGACGGTAATGTTTTTGATTTACGTAGTATACGAGTTTGTGCTAGTCACGTGATACGTGTGTGAGTTGTACTTACCGGCCGGATGGACTAGAGAGGTCGGTACAGGCTACGCCGGCGCGCGCAGTTCAACGCACAGCCAGCACTGCGTCTAGGCAGCTCAAGGGACCTCATGGCGGCTGCAACAGATGGCAGCACAGTCTTACCTTCACACAATCCGTATACATGATTAAAATCGAAAATAAGACTCGCAATTGAATATAATAAAAATTCAAATTTGTAAACGCCGAATACCAACCTACCCAGAACAGAGATCACGTAAAACATCGACGTTCCAAAGCCGTTCTTCAGGCCACGTTTTTTACACCGCTGTTGCACTAATGTGATCCGAGGTCATTGTTGCAACTTTCGCCACTCACGCACTAATGGGATCCAAGGTGATCGCTAAGCGTCACAACAATGGGGGCGACGGACATCGAGGGACCAACAACAATGTGTTGTTGTTGTTGTTGTTGGTCCCTCCCTGTGTTGTTGTTGTTGGCTCACGCCACAGCGAGAAATCACAATGGCGAACAATCAAAGGTAATTATACAAACCCATTCTGTCTTTTGCTCTCTGCCTGACAAGTCACAGAAGATGAAAAGTTTGAATCTACCCGAGGCCAACGGACACTTCGTTGCGCATTCGAGGAGATTAGAGCTAAATATCACTGTCATTTGTAGCACGACAGAATTTTGAGGAAATTCATGCCACACGGAGCCTTATTATTGATCTCCCTGTCCTTACTTCGTCAAAGCCGATTCAGCTGGTGTCATTGTCGACATGTCACAGGATTGGAGCAGAGCAAATGTTTTCTGCCAGACTCGTACAGAAACCTTTCACCAGTTCCAACTTACATTACACCGGTAAGATAAAGGAACATTTTTGTTGGAAAACCTGACAGGAACACATCACACGAGAAGCATAAGCGCTGATCAGGGAGAGGATAATATTAAAATGGATCTTACGGAATTACACTGGGGGTGTGGAGTGGATTCACATGGCTCGGGATAGGGATCGGTGGAGAGCTGTTGTGGACACGGCGATGAACATTCGTGTTCCAAAGAGACGGGGAATTTCTTCACTAGCCGAGCGTACTATCAGCTTCTCAAAAAAAAAGACACTACGAAAAGCGAGGTTGAAATGTGTTTCGCACTGGTCACCCCTGAGATCTGCAAAACAGATAAGTTGCATAACAAAGGTCACAGCAAGTGGATTTATAACGCCTCGAGGAATAATTACTCACGTCTGATAAAACCAGACTCGCCTTGGAGGGAGAAAAAAAACCCTCACTGATGATTTATCAAGCGTTTGTACCAGAGCTACGTAGAAGTATACTTTAAAGGCTACTCAAGTACGGCATAACCCCACCACGAACAACGGGCCGTATTAAAATTCGTCCGAATTGCAGATCGAGACACCGAAAGAGTTCACGCTCATCGGTGTCTGAGGAGGGCAGGCAAACACAGCGTCTCCACAAATTTTAATTCCACTCACTTCCCGCAAAGCGCACACGAGACATCCGTCGCGTGATTCCATCATCCCGTTCCTCCGCGGATTTTGAATCACCCGGTATAAAGTTTCACAATGACGGCGGTCGCTGTATTTTTTGGGGGGGGGTCCGGCGAAGATGGATGTAATTAAATCGAATGCGCGTGTGGGTTAAGCCCTTCCCACTAAGCACCAAAACGAAAAATTATCGAGTTCCTACAGATTATGCAACTGTGCAATGACCCTCCGTGACCCACTGCATTAGAACAGCTGGCACTCGATAATCCGCGTCATTTAACTGGGAAATTTTAGGTTAGGGTTAAACGGAAGCGTACAAAATAACACTGCTTCTGCATTTTCCTCTCTCTCTATCTATCTATCTATCTATCTACCTCTCTATATCTCTCTCTATCTATCTCTCTATCTCTATCTATCTCTCTCCATCTCTATCTCTCTCTATCTCTCTCTCAACTTGTTTTTAATTAAAACCGCCAACAAGCAGGGGTGTTCAAACCAAAATTATGTCATTACAAATTCTTCCGGGCCCTCTGCAAGCATCCGCCATTTTCACCAGACTGACCACTGCAGCCCCGAACGTCGCGGAGGTCCTTGGTTCAAACCCTGGCCAGCAGATCGGCCCTCTGATATTTTTCGTGGTTTTTGTTAGTCGCTAGAGAGAAATCCCGGAAACGGATCTTAAATTGTGCGAAGGTCGCATGTTTTCCACATCATTCGTAATTCATTAACCACACTACGATCATTCCACGTCACACATTTCGATCTGGTGTTTAATTAACGAAAAACGAAAGCTGAAACAATTCATAACTCCGCAATTCTTTGGCTGCGAGTCAGAAGACCCCGAACCAAAATTCTCTCCGAGCACAAAGGAAGGACGCCCGCCCGAGACGGCGTCTGAGATAAAGAATCTCCCCCATTTCTGTGCAGAAATATGACACACAAACTGAGGCACTTAGGCCAAGACGTCAATTAATCACGAGCTGCAATACGCCGGTCGTCGTCGGTGAAGGGAATTTTTACTTAGATCGGAGGGAAATAAATTAATTTTGCGCACAGCTGCTCCTGATGGGTATGCAGCTTATGTATCATTTTCTTGAGAGAAATTTGGAAACAAAAATAAAATCTAAATACACAGGTTATTCAAACTACGTAACTACTAGCCTGAAAACTAGGGAATTAGGAGTCATGAAAGATGAAGATTTTATTTAAATTGACTGGGTTTTTTTTAAAAAATGGCATTCTGCCTTCTGTGTTACAGAATTTCTTCTTCAGTTTGGATAAATGTTAAATTGAAACTATAAATAATTATTCTGTAATTGGTAGAACATACGAGCAATAATTATCATCTGTTATTTCATTTTACAAAAATCCGAGACTCCCCAAAGGCCGCTCCATAAGGCCTCATATTTCAGAGGACACACACACACAAACTTCTAAGTTACATTCCAAAACGCAATGGCGGCAGTAATTGCAGTCGAAACAGTGTAACTGACAAATGACGACTTCGGTTACTACATAAAAGAAGACCTGAAGATATATAATATAATAATAATAATGAAAAAATACACTTAATCACTCCTCCTTCGTATTCGGGCAGTCCCGGGTTCAAAACACGGTCCGACAACAGTCTTATCTGGCCAACGTTCTTTGAAGTTTTCCTTAAGATTTCACAGGAAAATGATGGAATCGTCCTTAGAACAGGCCACGACTAATTCCACGCACTGTCCCTTTTAGAAATATTTGGAGTAATTCCAATTCCGAAACACGAAGACGGCCGTCTTCATACTCACCGCAGTGGTTACGTAAGGTCTTACTTAATTTCAACACATTACCGTCTGCCAAGTCAGAGAACGCTAAATATTGCTGATAAATTTGATTTCACAGCAAATATTATTATACAGGAAAAAAATTAAGTGTCTCAAAGAACCATTTTAAATAATTCCGACACATTATCGACTCCCACTCGAGGGTAAGATTTAAATTAGCGCAGATTTAAAAAAAAAAAATATGTGTTTAACCGCGAACAAAAACAAGAGAGAAACGCCATTACGTAGCAACGCGCGCCAACACAAGAACTTTGTGACTGATGTAATTACAGGCTACAACACCACAAAGCCACTCTTCAAAGCGCTAAATTAAAAATGCAGCATCCCAGCCCGCCCTCTTTCTCTCGCTACTCGAAATACAAGACACATAAGTGTCACACATATACAGGGTGTGCATTTTAAAATGCAACCCAACAAAAACCAATTTCTACGGTAACAAAACAGACGAATGTCTCAGGACCTCGTCCATGACGCCTCGTCTTCACCTGCTGAATTTAATATCGGCTGTGCTCAATCTTGGATTTATATTATCAGATGACTGCTTAAGCTGGCTAATCACTTCCGAAATACAGAAATATATTCTTAAAAGAATAAATATCTAATTGGGAAAGGATACATTATACTTTCCTCCAGAGGTGTATGTTAGCGGCCAAAAGTTGGCACCCGTGAGCCACGTCAGTAAACACACAACGCGGTATAAGCCTTCTTATTCTTCTTCTCTAAGTTGCAAAAGTGCTGATTCCGAGCTGTGTAAAGATTTTAATTACACACAGAACACAGCGCTGTCTGCCGGGAAATAAAACCAGTCTTCTTAACACAGAGTGGCGCTGCTGTCATTAATAAAGTGGTTACTCGCGGGTTAAGACAGCTGCTAACGGCCTGCCTATCCATCCATCAGCCACCACAACAGAATCTGATGTTTAAACACCATTAGCAACGAAGTTCAGAGTTGCACACAATTTTGAAACAAATCCGTACATTTTAACAGCAAAAGCAGTCTTCCGGGCTGTACACTGGTAGAATTTTTAACAAAGTTTCGGACGTCCTTGCTGCCTCCATCATCAAAACAGGGCGATGTGTCGCTACAACCCAGAAGATGACCATCTTTAAAAAATTGAATTTCTCATCTACGCCATGCGTGCGTCTTTGTCTCAGTGTATCCCGTACTCTAACGCAGTGGTATTCAACCTCTTTTGTTCGCGTACCCCCAGATATAATTTCTCTTCAACTTTGTACCCCCAAAGTTGTTTGTGTATAATTCAAGTTATACATAGTATATAATCTACATCTAAAATAAATTAAATAAATTAAATTACTGATTATTCAGTATATTCATAAAATAATATATATTTTTTTTAAATTTCACGTACCCCAGCTTGAATACCACTGCTCTAACGCCCAGGGGCAAAGTTCAGATTTCAAATGTCAATTTTATATTACGCGTAGGTATCTCAGTTCGTGTGTCAGACCTCGAGTGATTCTGCGCCATGTTGACTGGCACTGTGACACGGGCAACCTCTTTACAGGCGCAAACTTTTGTTTCGGAGTCAATTCCGTGTCGGGCAGGCTCCACCTCCTACGGCAGAGTCTCTGACTGACATTCGCGTCTTGAATTATTTCTGGAACCTGTAGACCTAGTCGATAGAGCAGTCTTTGTCGTGACATGCCCCACACTTCAATAATTCTGCGCATGCGCGTATGGTTAAAATTGTAGTTTCCTCTCGCGGAAAACGCATAACTGGAAGACCGAGGACGTTATGGGGTGTTCCTGAAGATGGCAGTCGGATGTACGAGGGCAGATGATACCGAGTCCCGCTTCCAGGGGCAGAAACCTGTTATTTCAGTTACTTAGACCACGTCTTATGACGAAACATGGTCCGGGGTGGATTCGCCTTCATCTGGGGCTTCTGCAGGGCGGACGGTCTGTCCACACGAGATCACAAAGGCGCTGTTTCTTCGTTTGAGAGGTGCTAACTGCCTCCATACTTATCGCCTAGAAGCTGGATCCTGCGAGGACCTCTGACTTCTACCTGACCACCCAGAAGACGGTCGAAAACGGACAGACAGAAACAAAGAACGGCAGACGAGCGCACTGCTGGTTGCCGCAGCGGTCGAGAGACACTTGACGTAACGGCCTTCATGGAATTTAATTATGAGGTGATCGGGGAAGTCTGCCTGTTCTAGTGACCTTGTTCCAGACCCCAGTCTACGAGAAATCACAACGCGAGGAGAGCCAGGGGAAGGCAGCAGATTCTACCTCGACAATTATTGAACTAGTGGTTTGCACCTCCAGGTCGCAACATTTCGGAGAAGAACATAATCGCCATCCACATTCGCGGTTGAAGTGAGATTTGAGATTCTCGCAGCCCCTGAAGATGGAAACTGTATGTATCTCCGAAACAACCGATCTACCTACGAGTACCCACAAAAACAACACGGATACCGTCAAAGGAGATTCAGGGCAGTCTTCATCCGATACAGGGACATAATAATCGATGCTGTTGAAATATACATCGATAATCCACACGCGGCCCAGAAGTTCACTCCGTGGGGGCAGAACGCAGACACGGAAAGTCTAGTTACCGCGTTCCTCCGAAGCGCTGCTTCGCTCCCCGCGTTACGACGACGGGGCCAATCTCTCCACACCTCCGCATTCACAGCCAAGCCTCCGGATGATTAATGAACAGCTCATGACTTCGTCAAGGCGACAAAGATGTGTGCCCCCAGATCGATTTCGTTTCAGATCTGTCTACAGCTTTGATTAATTGCTGCGTGGTGGGTGACCCGCCGAGCCAAACAGGTGAGCAAACCGTGGGTTGAGTGTCCTTCGCGGACCGCGAAATACTCCACTGGTGATCAGTCTCGGGTGAATATCACGGATGACTTTTGTAACGCGAGTGAAGCAGAGACTGGCATTGAGAAGTTCGATGGCGGTACGCTGAAATTTTGTTTTGTTATTACCAAATTTTCCGAGGTAAATTCTGATTATTCCGGATAAAATGGGGAGAAAACCGGTTCAGATAAAACCGGTTCGGATAAAACCGGTTCAGATAAAACCGGTTCAGATAATACGCAGTGTCAATTAAATTCTAAAATATGTGGCATATTTCATCTCCGCCACACATTTTGTCCGGAGAGACTGAGGAAAGGTACGAGAAACCTCGGTGAAGACGGGTAGTGATTCCAACCCGTGACATTCTTCGCAAAAATCACGACGTATTACCGCTCAACGGCGACATTAGATGAAAACTGTAAAACGACGTTCATCTGGTTTGGATACCGCGACAATCCTCTGGCACACTTGGACGTCTGCCCCCGTCGCTGTCTTCGCAACAGCGAAACGAGGTACGTTCGCTGTCACCAAACTTTGTCATACGAATTCAGGACTTCGCGTGTACCGGACGGCCAGAGGCCAGGACTGTCACACGTAGAGATGGAAAAGGTACCAAAACAGAAATGCAAGTCCGGAATCAGATAAACAGTTTCACGCGAAACTAGGCTGGTTTCCTTTGTAGCAGAGCGTTGAACTTAAACCACTTCCGGCACTGAACATTCATTCCACCTTCGTCTGCTGTGTCAACAAGCACTGGCCCTTACTGTGGCGCAACTCAGGGTTCCGAATGATCACACATGTAGGCCCGGGGGGGCAACTCTCTTGCTTCGTATTCGGGAGACCACAGCTTCGAATCTCGGTAAGAATACCAGATAAGCCGCCACGCGTGGTGTTTGTACTCCGTTCTCTTCAGCAAAAGATTAGAATACGATCTGATAACTTCGCCGTCCTCCGAAATTAATTCACAAATCACTGGGCTACCTCGCCCCTCACAATGTCCTGCACATTACGAGATGAAACGTTTCAACGCCGAACACGTGACCCGCCCACAACGAAGACAGAAAAAACTTATCTCGCGTCTCGTCTGCCGGAAGCCGATAGTTTCCACAGTCGATTAAGTGTCGTTGAACTGTGCAGTGCATTCTGGGCGCACTACAACGGAGCTCCTGGCACTGTACGTTTCTTAACGCGCGAACAATGGATCTCGACAAACAACGGTGTCATCCGGGCATTCTGTCTTCGTCTCTTTAACCCTTTGAAGCCGAAGCTCGTCTTCATAATATTTACGAATCCAGACCGTACCGCGAAGAAAACACTTCACTTAACCATTAGAAGTCGAATCAGGCGGTACCACATAAGATTTAACAAAAGAACATCCCGGTCAAAGCCTTAATCCCGCGTCTTATTCTCATTCCTCCGTATTCTGTCGCGCGTCACACCGGGAGGACACGCACTGAGTTGACGGCATAAAGACGGAAAGCGAGACCTAACCTGCCCTCGATCGATAATCGAACACGCGATCTAAATATCCCATCGATCTAGTACCCGGTATCGATTCCTATCCAATTTTAAAATGCCGCCTGCAACTCACCTTTCACATTTCCCTCCAAATCGCGTCTCTGAAATTATCTCTTACCACAAATTGTTCTTCATTCCTTTCTCAAGAACGCAAACAAATGCAACGGCTGACTAATCGATTAGCCCCTGGTATATGTTAAGTATCCCTCTTCACACGCGGTGACGACGTACAGCACCGACAAATGGACCACGACTCAGATTTCTGTACTCTTCAACTGAAAGCATAACGAACTCAACAAAAATCTAACAACGTCCCACGGTACCTGCTACCGTAGCAGTTACGCCATAGCTTCATACAATAACTCTACATCCTTTATGGTTCGATGGTAATTATATGTACCATCTATTTAAAACACTCAATAACTCTTTAATTTTGTATAAGAGTTTTCGTACGATTCCCAGCGTAAACAGCGATTATTTCCTTAAACAGCGTTAACCAGTCGATCTTCGTAAAGGTGAAGTGTCGTGTTTTCTTCGCGGTACGGCCTGAATATTTAAGTAGAGCTTTCTTCTTGTGTCTACAAGATTTCTACGGCACACAATTCCCTCCACATATTCATTCGTATGTTTGTTAACTTGAACCAGGTCAATTTCCAGCCTTCAGTTACACACATTACCATTTAAGCTTCAAAACATTTGCTGAATGGGGTGTGGCCAAAACCACGTTTTTGTACTTACATAAGCTGAAACGCGAGAGACAGCCGTCAACATGTCTCAGAACTCCGACCCATATTTCGACTCCAAGCGGCCGGTCAGTCACACCGACGAGAGCCCGGCCACAACAGCCGACAGATCCACCTGAGAACAAAAGGACAGTCGCTTGTTAGTCGTCATTAACATCATCGTAACAAACTGTTCATTCCCGTTCATCACAAAGACTAACTGGCGGTCACTACATGCGTCCATCAACGTTCGAAGACGCCTCTACAAAAACTGCAGACGAATTTCAGTGACACAGACGAAATCCCAACTTTTTCAACAGGTTTTATTGGTTACCTGGCGTTGGTGAATTTAAATTCTTCCAAAGTAGAATTTACCTCAGCGCACGCGGGCTTATATCGGCGTTATGAAAACAGAAAAGAGACAAACGGAAGCAGCCATCAACCAAAACACAACTGAAGGAAGTGCAGGTCGTTCTGTCACCGGTCTCCTGACACGTCATGAAAGTTCGCTGATATTATCATGGAAGATTTTTCGAAGGTCAGTTACAACAAACAAGTTATTTGTCATGTGTCAGCGCTACTTTGAAGTATCTGTCATTTATTGTGAAGCAAACAACACCTCGTTTGTACTCAACACTGAAATAATACACAGGGTGTTCAAAAATTTAATGGTAGAACTTATAATGCAACTGCACAGAAAAGCTTGAACAGTTGGTGGTCGTTTTGAGCGATATGGCGGTAGTGCATTGCGCAAAATATCTGCGAGCGTGGGCTACATCACAGTACAGCCGTGAGAATGAAAAATAAAGAAAATGCGAAGAAACAAAAAGGTAGACTGACAAAAACATGGAGCAACGGCCCAGAAAACAACTATCTTCATTTTAAAACGGTGGTTATTAGAAAAATACTTCATAGCAGCATGGGTTTGACAAGGATAAATGTTGGCTGTAAGCCAATGATTTATGTCAATTGCAGAAGTGCATGTTCGCGTAAATAATTCGCACGCCACTGCACATTCAACAGATGAACAATACGAGGGTGGCTGCAATGTTTACTGGTTACTGTGACAACAACGCCACGGGTCAACAGACAGACAACCCCCACTGGTAATTTATCGCGGCGCCTGTCATCGGAAACACTCGTCCGTCACTGCTGACGTCCGATGGGAAACTGATTCAGCGTTCTGCGATCCACGAACACAGCCATGGGGACTCCTTGCCTGTACGTACGTCTTCAGATCTGCAAGTTTTCCTAAGACAACCGTCTTCTGGGAGGTTGCGGCGTGTGGGCTCGTAAAAACTGGATGACGTTTCGGAGTTTCCTACTACCTCCATCATCAGGGAGATTCAAGACAGCGTCAATTTCCGGGATGCTTCCCACGCCACTCTGACTCGATCGGTTTTAATGACATGCTGGAGACAGCAGAATCTGATTCGTTACAGGACTCTACAGGGCGTTCAAAACGTTTCTATACAACAGTTAAAATATACGACATGAAGGGACTGGCAACGTAGTTACTTTTTGTCTAGGTTGGTAGCACGGATTATGTGAACAGTAATAAATCTGTAGGATTTGACGTTTTCACGGCCGCGAGGCTGAAGATCGCTGTTTTCTGGGTTGTTGCGCCGTGTAGTACTTTACCGACGTTTCGGAGGTCGTAACTGCCTCCATCATCAGGGCGATCACTGATTACTAAATTAACAAAAGGAAGCCGAATACAGGCCGTGACGTAAATTACTGAGCGCCTCGCAAATTCTTGTTGTCATGGCAACAAATAAAAACTGCAATCACAAAGCACGGCGGTCCACTTGAGACTTCCTGTGAAGGTAATTTCATGACGCGGGCGAACGCCAACGAAAGAAGATAAGAAAGGAGAGGCGGCGTCTTCAGGCACAGACAAAGAAGGCGCGGAGAGCACCGGAGGATACAAAAGATAAAGAATTCCACCCGCGAAAATAATCCAGTCCACTCACGTTGTTAGTAACTCGGACCATCCGGAGTGCTGTTTTTTTTTCCCCAGCAAGTTTAAAAGTTAAAAAAAAAAATGTCGTAATTTAACTCGTAAGGCCCCCAGACAGTAGACGCTCTTTCACACTTCTCCGAAACTACAAACGAACGCAATTCTCAACACCTCGAACACCTTCTTAAAAGAAACTGATAAGTTCCTCGCCCGTTATGGCACTCGAAGGTTCGTCACCGTGCTGACAAAATCCATTCGAAGCAAACATTTTCCCCCTCAGATACATTTTAATATTATCTTCCCGTCTCCCCTTCAGGTTTTTAACTTTTCTGTTCCTTTTAATTGTAACTTACAAATTTCTCATCTACCCCTTGCGCGTTATACATCCAGCATCACGGTCAGAACATCCAACAGAATTATAATATCGTGGCATGTGGCACCATCTTGCTGGAACCACGTCGCCAAGTTCTGCACTCAGGGAAGGTTTTCTGGCGTGCCCCATGGTCATATCTGTTCACCAAAATTCCGGACAAGATTCGTAATACGACGACGGCTGGGTGATACTTCAAACATGTGGCAAAGGTCAGAGGGTTGAATCGCGGTACCACTGACTGAACACTGCACGACCAATCGCGAACTCCCTTATTCGACCTCTACCTTCCGCTTCCTCGATTTCTTCTAGGTCAAGTCAACAAAAATTCAAAGAGATCAGATTGTGCGTCAGACTTGACCGAAGGGTCCATTAACCCTTTGAAGCCGAAGATCGTCTGAATATTATTTATGAATTCAGTCCGTACCGCGAAGAAAACACTACACCTCACCATTACGAAAATCAGCTGGTTAACCCTTTGAAGCCGAAGCTCGTCTTCATAATATTTACGAATCCAGACCGTACCGCGAAGAAAACACTTCACTTAACCATTAGAAGTCGAATCAGGCGGTACCACATAAGATTTAACAAAAGAACATCCCGGTCAAAGCCTTAAGCTGTCACATGTGAGGGGGAGAGAATTTATTTATGACTCTGACTAATTCGTCCGATTTAAATGAAATTCCAACGGGAAGTTGCACACGTGAAGAGACAATAAGAAGCTGCCAAGAGATTTCCGTAATGGATATTAAGCACGAAGCCCGAGACGTGCGCCGACAGCTTAGTCCTCCATCAAGGCTTCCTGTCACATGACGGGAACAAATAACTGCCAATAAATGCGACCCGAAAGGAGACTGGGTCTTGGGGCACACGAGAAAAATCACTCAACAAGAGCCCTTAGGGCGGTATCGCACTAGGATGCCATGGCAGCGACACCAACAGCGATGCCATGGCGTCCAGCTGCCAGAAAAAGACGCCAGACAAGCTGCCAGCTTTCGACGCCAGTCGAGCGAACAGATGGATCAACGTTATGAGATCACGAAATGAAGGGCTATTAGCAAGGAGAAAGTCCACTTTTATAACTTTTGAGAAAATGAGATTTTCCTTTATCAAAACTACATACCTGGAGTGAATTTCAATTCTGTAACAAAGAAATAAGTAAGAAAAATTCTCCATACACACACTTTGCACGTCCATACCATTATTGAATTTGAAATATTTCAGTTCTTGCAAATCACATGTAATATTACATGAACAAACTTTATTTAATAAAACATTATAAAAGCAGGTTTCTTCTTAATTCACATTATTTGTGATATATAGATAGATATATAGATTGCTAAACAAAAAACTTAAAAATCAAGTTGCCATATTGGAAAGCGGCCCCACAAATAAAGCCATAGAAACACTTCTTAGCTAATTCTTTCTTTTCTACTGTAAATAAATCTCCTCCTCCAAATATAGCACATTCACACACGTACGTCAATGGACTGGCCAGACTGTCCTGTGATGTTGATTTGGCCTTGGCCGTGGCAGCGAGGCCAGTAGCATTTGAACTTGGCATCTTGGTTGGCAGCGATGCCAAGTTGGAAGCGCTGCCAGACGGATGCCACGTGCGATATATGACTACTAAATTAATGCATTGAGTTTGGCCGAGATGCTGGCAGCTGCGCCATGGCCTCCCGTTGGCATCCTAGTGCGATACCGCCCTTAAGAGTGCGATAATTTCAATCTCCTTGATCCGCTGATCATCGCTCAGCGAGTCAAACAATGCCCCGTCTTTCATTGAAGCCGAATGTTCATAATGGCTTTCACAAAAGCGGGAAATCAACTGAGTAGGTGACTTACTATCAGATTCTCAATATACTATTTTTTTTAGGTTTATTTAGCAACGCTTTCGAACAACTTCGGTTATATTATTGCGTCACGTGATAGGATTAGCGAATCAGGAATTGAAAAAGTTACAGAAGGAAGATCCATAATTCTTCGTGTCTGAACACAACTTTCCAAAACCCTCCAATGAGAACCGTCAACTGTACGTGATTCAACGGGAAACTGAGACAAAATCCAGAAAGTAGGAAGTTGACATGTTAAGCCTAGTGGTAACTATATTTACCACTTGCTTTGATAATCAGCACCTCGGTATTTTGCATCAGCTGGTTTCATGCTATTCTCAGAATAAACAGCGATTATTTCCTTAAACAGCGTTAACCAGTTGATCTTTGCAATGGTGAGGCGTTGTGTTTTCTTCGCGGTACGGTCTGAATTCTTAAATATTATTTTAGACGAGCTTCGGCTTCAAAGGTTAAGACTGTTCTTTTTTAGAATAAAAAGTCTCTGAAAAGATTTCTGGATAAAACCTCCGAGGTGACGGAAGGAACGAAGGAGACACGGGCTAGAAAAAGTCAGACTGAGATTACAATGGCACGAACGTCGGTAACATGGCGTTGAAAGGCGCTGTAAGAAAACACTCGGTCCCCGAAGTTCTCCGGAAGGTGGATCTGCAGCCACGTCGAATAGGTCAGAGGCTACTCAGACACCTCACAGGGGAATTCACGGCGGACGAGTTCGAGAAGAAACTAGGGCGAGTCAGACGAGCACACAGCTCCTATAGTTACAACACAGAAACACGTCTCAGCTTCAAAACCGCCCAACTCACAACGAAGGGCGCTCGATTACCGGCTCTGGGGCAAACCATCCTCCAATCCGGTGAGGACCCGGGGGTTTTCTCTGCAAACGCGACTGGGGCTTCAAGCTCACCACTCACTTCCTGCTGCAGCGAGGTCTAGAATTCGTTAAGCATCAC